ACCCCACGGCACATAACCATCAACCATCCTCATACTGTGATAAAAGCAGCGAGGTGTATCTCCACACAACGGCTGGGGTGAATTGTAGGACATGACTTCACACAGCAAGTACGATGCACGCGCATGATTCCACCTGTGCAAACTCCACGCACGGCAGACACACAGCTCCTTCCTTCGGAGTTTCAGGAACGCCCATGGGAGAAGTCTGCATAGTGGCTGCTGCGTGGGGGAAGGAGGAGACAATGGCAGGTGCGGGGGCTGTCATCTCAGGTGCCTCCAGTCAAGTTAATGAACAGTGGTCACTCCACTTTGTCACTGCCCATGACAGACCCGCCGTTCTAAAGGCTGCCGCCGCCGTGACTCAGAAGGAGCCTCTATAGTCCGCGTTCCCGCCGGGCTCTGTCAGGCTGCAGTGAGTGTCCTTCTCACAGTGCCTCCTCATCCTGTGTCTAGGATCTCATAGAGAATGTAGTGGCTGTCGCTGAGAACACCGCCGATGAGTTAGCACGGAGTGATGGGCGGGAGGTGCAGCTGGAGGAAGATCCGGACCTGCAGCTGCCTTTTCTTCTGCCAGAAGACGGCTACTCCTGTGATGTTGTCCGCAACATCCCCAGTGGCTTACAGGAGTTCCTGGACCCTCTGTGCCAGCGAGGTAAGTAAGTGCCGTGCGCCGCACCTGCAGTAGGCCAGGGTCAGACACTTGGAACTAAGTAGGGAACTTTGACCCCTGCAGAGTGTAGTAGCTCAGAGCAGCGCCGGCTGGATTCTGCCCAGCGCTTGTGCCCTCCTTGCTGTGGGATCTCAGGCAGGGCAGTTCTGCACCTCTGTCTTTCTATCTGGGAAATGGTGATGTTGATTATCCCACGTCCGGGAGTGTGGTAGCACGCACTATGAACTCGCTGAGAGGTTTCCTAACTGCGCAGAGAGTGGCTGGTTCCACAGACTGCCGCATCGCCTCTACTCCTGCTAGGACACTCCACAGCCCTCCCTAAAGCAGAGCTTTTGAATCACATCAAGGGGTCGTTTCAACTCTGCCACTTCTGGTGGTGTGGAAAAGAGTACTCAGATGTTCATTTAAAAAATAAAAATAGTAATAAACTGAAGGTCTAGTGCCTGCAGATACTTAGTTCAGTGAGCATGCTCTCTGACCACATCACGGTTGGTGGAGATGGTTGTGTGCCATCGAGTCAGTTCTGACTCACAGCGACCCCATATGGGGTTTACAGGAGCAGAAAGCCTCATCTTTCTCCCACAGAACAGCTGGTAGTTTCGAACTACTGACCTTGAGGTTGGCAGCCCCACATGTGACTAAGCCACTGAGTGTCTTGCCCCAGTTAATGGGTATGTATTTATTCAGAGGTTTCGATAGTTCACAGATTCATCTGACAATGACACTTCTTCTCTTGAAGCCTGTTGGCTGCAAAGCAGCTAGAGAAGGCAGCTGTGTGTGCTTGTAGCAGCCCGGAGATGGGGTGCTGACCTGCCGAGAAGCAGGCACTGTGGTGGGATTTCTGGAAGATACGTGTGAAGGATGGGGAGCAGGGAGCACCCCTTCCTGGCCTGTGCCTGGCTCTTAACAAAGATCTCTGGGAACTGGTGTCCCGAGCCCTGAGTCTGCTGTCATGGCCTGGACTAACTGAGAGGAGCGTAGCACCCAGAGCCACAGTGCCTGCCACCACGCTGCCACACAGCCTTGTTCGCACTCGCTTACGTGTGTCGTGTTAGTCACTGCTCTTCTTGGTTGGCTCCTTAGAACTCTTCTCACCAGACCCTCCCGTACCCTCGCACAGGCCCACCTGATTTTAAAGCTGGCTTGTAGACTCCTGTGCTGGGAGCGGGTCGCCATGGCTCTGGGGTGCACATGGATGTGTGCTGTCCAGACAGTGCTGTGGGGCCCACACCTGGGCTCCTCCTTGAGCAGGCTGTGCCCAGTCCCAGGTCTCCACCCTTTTCTTTACACTGGCCACCCCTGCCCCGGGACTCATTCTCTGTGAGGACTTCACCGGTTTCTGCTTGCCCTCCACAAGGAGTCTGAGGTTTCTTTGACCCCTGTCTTCCAGGCGGGTGGTCCCTTCACCTGTCTGCACTTTTGATTTCCTCTGGTCCCTCAGGCCTGTGTGGGGCCTACTGCCTGGTAAGCATGCCAGAAGATGCATTGGCGTGAGTGCTGCACAAAACGTATCATTCCGGGGTAAAAGCACCTGCCGGTTTCCAGAGATAAATGTTTGCTGCCTTTTCCCTAGGAGCATGTGATGTGTCCTCATCGTCTGTACATCGCTGTGTTAGGATGTTCAAGTTGGGTGACAATGTCCACGTAGTCCAGTACACCAGGCCTTCGAAGGCCTGAAAAGAAAGAGTCGGGTGTTAGCCTGTGTGGCGTCGCTCCCTTTGATAGGACAGGACTTGCTGTGACGTCACTGTGGAACTCTTCTGTGGACAGTCTTTGAGAGCAGACTGAAAGCTGCAACACTCAAGCCTGGACTCAGCCGTATTTCTTAAGCTGCTAAAGCAAACTAGAGTTTGTGTCGTGGTGTTGTGTAAGAGAGAAAGTCATGTGCAGAGGTGGCCGAATGCCACTGTGGTTGTGTCCAAGTCCCTAAAACACGTGAAAGACATGCACAGACTTAGTTCAGTTATAATGCAGTGACATTGAAACAGCAATTTTCACTTAATAAAAACAAACAAAACTAACCAGAATTACTGTGTTTTAGCAGAGTGTCATATTTGACAACTAACTTTTTTGTAAGGACAAGTTCCTGAGCATCCAGACATCCAGCCAGAATTCTGCTGACTGACGAAAGGCAGAGCGAAGGAAGTTCCAGGCAGGGCCATGGAGATCTGGTCTTCAGGGTCCTCAAGACAGGGCTTTAGCCAGAACACTGCCCGGTCCTCACAGCTGACGGAGGGTGGGCGGGGGAGAAGTGCAGCAAGACCCAATAAGACCCCTGGGACAGAAGTGTGTTAGGAAGTGATTGCGATGCAGAAGTCAGACTGCACTGGTGGGCATGTTGCTGAGATTCTGGAAGCTGTGCCATGGGGGTTTTAAATAGCAGCAGGGTGACCCACAGTGGGCAGGTTTCAGATGCACTTCCAGATGAAAACACACCAGGAAGGAAAGACAGAGTACTGATGAATACTTAGCCATTGAAAGCCTTAGGAATAGCAGTGGCACACTGTCAGCACCAGAATGTTGACTAGTGAAACACGATGAAGCGTAGCAGAATATTGTCAGATACAGTGCCGGAAGATGAGCCCCTCAGCTTGGAAGGCACCTCCAAATGCAACTGAGAGTGAGCTGCCTCCTCAGAGTTGACCGTGATGATGCGAATGGAGTAAAGCCTTCATTTGCTCATGGGGCACAACTTAAAATAAAGAGAAACTTTGTAAACATCCATTAATAATCAGAACATGGAATGTATGAAGTATCAGTCTGAAAAATAGGGAAGTTTTGAAAACAAAACAAAACGCATAAACATTAATATCCTAGGCATTCGTGAGCTGAAATGGACTGGTATTGGCCATTGTGAATTGGACAGTCATACAGTGTATCATGCTGGGAATAACAAATTGAAGAGGAATGGCATCTTATTCATCATCAAAAAGAACATTTCAAGATCTGTCTTGAAATATCAACCTGTCTGTGATAGGTTAATATCCACACACCTACATGGAAGACTAGTTAATACCACAATTATTCAAATTTACGTATCAACCACTAAAGCCAGTGGTAATGAAATTGAAGAACTCTACCAAGTTCTTCAGTCTTAAAGTGATCAAATATGCAATCAAGATGTTTTCATAATTACTGACGATTGGAATGCAAATGTTGAAAACAAAGAGAAGGATCCGTAGTTGGAAAATAAGGCCTTGGTGATAGAAACGATGTTGGCGAGCTCGTGGTAGAATTTTGCAAGACTAATGACTAGTTAGTTCATTGCAAATAACTTTTTAAACAACATAAAAGATGACTTTACACAGGGACCTCACCAGATGGAATACACAGAAATCAAATTGACTACATCTGTGGAAAGAGACAGTGGAAAAGCTCCATATCATTAGTCAAAAGGAGGCTAGTGGCAGACTGTGGAAAAGGCCATAAGTTGCTCATACACAAGATCAGACTGAAGCTTAAGAAAATGAAAACACGTCCACAAAAGCCAAAATATGACTTAGAACTTAACCCACCTGAATTTAGAGATCATCTGAAGAATAGATTTGCTGCATTAGACACTAAAGACTGAAGACCAGAAGAGTTGTGGGATGACATCAAGAACATCCTACAGGAAAAATGATGCAAACGGTCATTAAGAAGACAAGAAAGAAGGAAAGGTCAACATGGATGTCCGAAGAGACTCTGAAACTTTACTTTGGAGATGCTAAAGCAAATGGAAGAAGTGAGGAGGTAAAAGAGCTGAGTAGAAAATTACAAAGGGCATGTTGAGAAGACAGAGCCAAATATTACAATGAAATGTGCAGAGACCTGGAGTCAGAAATCCAAAAGAATATCCTCATCATTTCTTAAGCTGATGAAACTGAAGGAAAACTTCAAGCCTTGATTTGCACTATTGAAGGACTCCTGGAGTGGCATTGTGAACTGCAAAGTCGGTTTGAACCACAAGGTCGGCAGTTCAAGCTCACCAGCCGCTCCTTGGAAAACCTGTACAGGGTCGCTGTGGGTTGGAACCGAATCAACAGCACTTAATAACAACAGCATGGGCAAAATATTGAGTGATGCAGAGGGCATCCGAAGAAGATGGAAGGAATACACAGAGATGCTTACCAAAAAGAAATGCTCGATGTCCAGTCATTTTAAGAGGCAGCATATGATCAAGAGCCAGTGGTACTGAAGGTACATTGAAGACAGTGGCAAAGAACAAGGCGCAGGGAACTCATGGAATAGAAACTGAAATAACCTCAACAAACTAATGTGGCACAGGAGGCACTCAGTCATCTATGCGAAGAAATATGGAGGACAGCTACCTGGCCAACTACCTGGAAGAGATCCATATTTGTACCCATTCCACAGAGAGGTGACCCAAAGGAATGCAGAAATCATCGGACACAATATCATTAATATCGCATGCAAGTCAAATTTTGCTAAAGGTAGTTCAAAAATGGCTGCAATAGTACAATGACAGGGAAACTGCCAGAGGTTCAAGCCATATTCAGACAAGGACGTGGAACAAGGGATATCACTGCTGGTGTCAAATGGATCTTGACTGAAAGCAGAGAATACCAAAAAGATGTTTATTTCTGCTTTATTGACTATGCAAAGACTTTCGATTGTGTGGATCATACTGTGGACAACACTGGGGAGAATGGGTATTCTGGAACACTTAATTGTGCTCATGAGGAACCTGTACACAGACCAAGAGGCAGTTGTTTGAACAGAACAAGAGGACACTTGAATGGCTTAAAATCAGGAAAGGTGTGCACCAGGGTTGTATTCTTTCACCACGCTTATTCATTCTGTATGCTGAGCAGATAATCTGAGACGTTGGATTATATGAAGAAAAACATGGCATCAGGGTAGGAGGAAGACTCATTAACAACTTGCAATATGCTTGCTGTAAGTGAAGAGGACTTAAGACACTGATGATCGCCAAGACCGCAGCCTGAAGAATGGGTTGCACCTCAGTGTAGAGAAAGCAAAGTCTTCACCACTGGACCAGTAAATAACATCATGATAAATGGCGAAAAGATGGAAGTTGTCAAAGACTTCATTTGGCTCGGATCAACACTCATGGAAATCCCAGTCAAGATATCAGATGACGTGTTGCATTAGGCATATCTGCTGCACAAGACCTCTTTAAAGTGCTCAAGAGGAAGCATGTCAGTTTGAGGACTAAGGTACACCTGACCCAAGCCATAGTATTTTCAATAACCTTCTATGCATGTGAAAGCTGGACAGTGAATATAGAAGGTCGTAGAAGGAAGAATTGATGCATTTGAGTTATGGTGTTGGAGGAGAATATTGAAAGTACCATGGACTGCCAAAACGTGGGGTGTTGGAAGAAGTACAGCCAGAATGCTCCTTGGAAGCCAGGATGGCCAAACCTCATCCTTCATACTTCGGACGTATTGCCCAGGAGGGACCTGGAGAAGGATCGCATGTTTAGTAAAATGGAGGATTGGAATAAAAGAGAAAGACCCCCAAGTTGGATTGAAACAGTGGCAGCAGGAGTGAACTCAAGCGTAGCCAAGGTTGTGATGTTGGTGTAGAACTAGGCAGTGTTTCACTCTGTTGGGCATAGAAACACAATGGTACCAACTCAGGGACATCTCACAATAACAGCCAGAAGTCAGTTTTAAATTGATAAGCTACATTTTGTAAAGCTGTTATTTGTCACTAATGGAAAGATGGAAAGTGTCTTTATAACATGATTCTTACCTTCATTTGTAAAAACAAGCGAGTATGACTTGAAAGAGAGTGTGTACAGTGAATAGCAGAAAGGGGTTGTAGAGATGCCCCTCTTGTGGATAGACAGCCTGGTGTCAGCATCCTCTTAAGTTTCCCCCTTTCCAAGGCCAGTGAGGCAGACAGACTTGCAGGGGTAGCCTGAGGTCTTCTGACAGCTGGAGGGTGGACCGGTCAGGGCTCCAGTGTCCGAGGTTAGGTTCCGTGGCAGAGCAAATGGGGTCTTGCATCAGAGGTAGGTGTCATCCCTGGATGGTAAGCAGTCATGACCTACCTCCTCTTCACACTGCTCACCTGCTTGTCTCTTCCCCAGGGTTTTGCAGGTTGGTTCCGCACCTGCGCTCACCAGGCACTTGGACGATATATTTTGAAGGTGCCGATTATGAAAGTCACCTTGTGCGTGAGAACACGGAACTGGTGAGTCCTTGAGGAGGATGGGAGGACTGTGTGCAGAGGGAATCTCTGATGTGCGTCTGTTGGGGAGTGGGGGCCTGTGTGAGATGACCCTTGCCTGTTTCATGCAGATCAGTGTGGGAGGGACAGTCCGAAAGCCTTCCTCCTCTGGGCCAGTCAAGCTCATGACTTCCTCTCTAAGTTGCCCCTAGAGGCCCTGCACTTTTCAGGATGCCAAGGCAGGGTAACAGTTTTACCTCCTGGAGGGACTCAAATCATGTTCCCCTTAAAAGGTTTCTTTGAGTTTTGTAAGCAAGTGTACAGAGGCGAAGTCGGGGCTGCAGGGTGGCTGGGCAAGGTTTCCCAATGAAGTTCTCAGAACACGGTGTGTTGTCCTTCAAGAATAAGCTGCCAGCTGCTGTGATGAAACTTGCCCAGCCTTAGCACCACTGTCCTAGTCTTTTCCCCCAGTGCAGGGTCCAGTGTTTCAAAACCTCTTCAAAGTAAGCTCCTGAGGTCTTCTTGTGTCCTTCAAGACAATCTGCCAAAAGAACCCGTTTGGCATCTCCAAGCACAGTGGTAGCTGATGTTGGAACTGCCTGACATCTTTGCCTGGAGTCTAACTAGCCCAGCACAGCCACTGTTTGGATTGGACCTTTGTTGAAAGCACCCTAACAAGACTAAGACAAGTGTATTTATTACTGAGGGAATTTTTCCTTACAATTACTTCTATCTTGCCTTAAATATACGTTAAATCATTAACTACTACATTGTTGTGCTTTTTTTTAAGTCATAGTATTACCCAGCCTCATAAATTTACTTCCTACAGAGTTTTAAAGGGAAAAAATGATGCCTTTCCATGTTTTAGAAAGTAGTGCCAGCTTAAATTTGGTTTGTACGTCAGATATGCTTATGTCTTACTTTGCCATCATATCAGTGCAGAGAAAATTGTTTATGTTTTCATATATTCATTTATTGTTATGTGAAATTCCACTGTTTTGGACTTTGTTTTTTCTCACATTTGATGATTTTGTAAAAACACCTTTTTTATCTTTCAAGCCACTTGACGGTTCAGAAGGAGCCCTGGTGGTGTGGTGGGTTAGGCATTGGACTGCTTTCTGAAGAGTGGGCGGTTCGAACCTACCACCCACTCCTTGGGAGAGATGAGGGTGTCTGGTCCTGTAAAGATTATAGTGGTGACTATTCTGAGGGACAGTTCTGTGTGTCCTAGAGGGTCCCTAGAAGTCGGCATTGACTCAGCGGCAGTGGGTGGGTTTTTGTAAATGGTTCCAAGGAGCGAGTAGGTGGGAGTGCAGACCGTTTAGTGGGTCAGACAGGGTTGGGGGGAGGGGGGTGTTTATCACTTGTGACTGGTCCTAGAACGAATGGGAAGTGCCAGGGCGTAGAATGCGGGACAAGTCAGTCTGTGACATGCCAGAGGCTTTCGGTGTGGCGCCCTGTGTCATGATGACTGGTCAGTCAGGAGAGTGTACCTGTTACTATGGGAGACACGGGGGCTGCAGGCGGCACTGCGTGTTGGTTAAAAGAAAGTGTCACTGTGGGTTAATGCACTGGACTGCAAGGTTGGCGGTTAAAGCTCACCAGTCACTCCTCAGAAACCTTATACAGGGTCGCTATGGATCAGAACCAACTCAACGGTGCCTCCATAGGATGAGTACTGGACTGCGAACACAAGGTTGGTGGTTCGAGCCCACCAGCTGCTCTGCAGGTGAAAGATGAGACTTTCTGCTCCCTCAAAAAGATTCACAGCCTCAGATACCCTAAACAGGGTTTGTTCTGAGTCGAAACTGACTCCACATCATTTAACAAGGAAACCCTTCAGGTTCGGGAATGTGTCTTCTGTATCTCAGAAAGCGGAATGAATTGATGACTGCCTTAGTACTACGTATTCTTGTTGTTCAGTACCACGCAGTTGGTTCTGACTCATAGCGACTCTACGTAGGGTTGCCAAGGAGCAGCTGGTGACTTTGAACTGCCGACCTTGTAGTTCAGACGCCCTTGTGGTCCAATGCTTTATCCCACAGTGCCGGCCCAGGACTCGGGTGATCCTGTATGGCCCATTGAAGTGACTGCTAAGCTGAGTAACCCTCTAATACTTCTCGGTGGCCTTACCAGCTCTTGGTTGTCAAATTCCAAGTCATAGCAGCCACTTCTAATTCCCAGATTTTATGGAAAACAACAAAATTCTCTGTCGTCCTTAGAGGATTTCAGCTTTGGGTTTGTTCTTTATAATAATTAAAAAGTCATCTGATGTTACTTTCTGTAAAATGTGCTGCCCCCAGGCTTCAGCTATTTCCTGCGAGGCTGGCTGAGTAACGCACATGAGGGTTCTCTGTGTGTGCGGGTTCTGTGGTGTCAGGCATGGCCCGCACAGCTCCTAAACCTCAAAGGATGTGTCCACTTAACTGCGTCCTGGCATGCGAGAGCTGGCGTGTGTGGTGGGGCTGCCGCTGCAGATTTTAACTGTTTATTGCTACCCTTTGCCTGGGCAGTACAAAATAGTTATGTTTCTTTTGGGGGGAAAGCAAACAAAGTTTGGTTGTTTGTTTTAAAGGGTGGGAAAGTAAAACTCGACTTTGTCTTTATAACTAGATTTGGTAACAGTAGGAATTGAGCTCGTCACTGGTTTGTGCGTTAGTTCCTCAGGTACAGAGAGCAGCAGTCATGCTTTGAAACTTGCTGATGATGGGAGGGGTTCATTGTTTTCTCTCTCGTCTCCCGGGGGACTGTGAGTGACGAGATTTCAAGGTGAGCTTCATGATGTTCCTCATTTCTGTCCAAATCTGCCCGTGTCCTTCCTTAGGCCCAGCCTCTGCGGAAGGAGCCTGAGGTCATCACGGTCACCCTGAAGAAGCAAAATGGGATGGGTCTGAGCATCGTGGCCGCCAAGGTAGGAGCACTGGGGCAGGGGTGTGGGGGGCTATGTGTGCTCAGAACTGGGTGGCCAGTGCCAAGGGGCCTCGGGCTCTCTGAGGTGAGGGCTGACACTGAGCAGCTGGCGGAAGGACGCCGTCACAGCTGGACACACACTGGCTGCTGGCCCTGCCGACGCCTCACGCTTCCGTGCACTGAGAATTGCTGGGTCTGTTGAGCTCCGGTTCCAGTCCTAGCTTCTCTCCCTCGGGCGGCGAGGACTGAGCTGTAGGGCTACTGGGGGCTCTGGTAGCACCGACTGCGGGGTTCTCCAGCTCTGAGTGCTCCCACGCCACCCAATCCAGCCCACAGCAGCGTCGGCCCTTGTGCCTGGACGTCAGAAGGATGAGCTCTGCTAGGGCTTAGAGGAGACCCAAGCAGCTGTCCCCTGAGAAATAAGAATGGCGGACTCGTGCTTGCTCCCTGTGGCCCTCAGGAAAGACCAGTTGCTGGAAAAGAACATCCTATTTGGTAAAGTAGGGGTCAGCGGAAACGGGGATTTCTTGCCGGAACCATTCTGATCTCCCCCAGGCAGAAGGAGAGCGCTCATACACAAAGAAGAAAAAGAAAACATGCAAGAATTCTTTGTGGATGTAAATGTTCCCTGGGAAGTGTTCTCTCGTGGAAGCCTAGTCACTGCCTCCCTGCTGCCCTGCAGTGTTGGCGGTTGATGCTGAGGAGGTCCGCTTAGCGTCTGGAGCCCACGCCCCGGTTCCGGGGGTGGGGCACACTTGGGCACAGCAGGCGCAGGACCTGTAAAGGTGGGCCTTGATCTCTCTCACTGTGGGTGACTTTTCAATAATGTGTATCCAAAGAGTACAGCCAGCCTCTTGTGCATCCCAGTGGTGAGATATGAAGAGAAAGGGTGTCGGCTGGCACATTTTCATCTGGAATCTCTTGTGGTTTTCTCGTGGTTTATGCCAGAAAGACCTTGAGAGAGCTGTGTAGGAAACTGGGGGACCACGCTGCTGTGGGATGTCTTCAGCGGAGGGAACTTAGGGTCACACATGCCTGCCCCCAGCGCCGTCGTGACTCTTGTCGTCAGAGCCTCTGGGTGCCTCCCACCCCAGGTTGTGAAGCACCAACCTCTGGATTAGCAGCCCAGTGCTTGTCCTGCAGTGCCACCCCAGGACTGTGGCCTGAGCTGGCCTCCGAAGGCCAGGAAGCCCTTGAGCAACGCCACCTGTGCAGGTATATAGCGCAATCATGCTTTGAAACTTGCAGATGGGAGGGTTTCATTGTTTTCTCCCCCCACACACACGTCTGACCCCACAGAGGTGCGGCTGCTGAAGAGCTGGGCCTTTCAGTTAACAGTCCGGCATCCGTCCCCCCCATGGGGCTGCCAGGCTCCATGGCAATACATCAGTTACAATGCAGTTTACGTGGAAGGTCAGGGAGGCGAGCGGGACAGCCCTTGTCTGCTGCATCCGGCGGCCCCGAGCAAACCACCGAGGGATTCAGTGCCCTGTCTTCACGGTGCTGAGCATTCTAGTTCTTCCCAAGGCTGGCGTGGTGGTGATGAAAAGACAGGCCAAGAGCTGTAGTAAATCTGGAGCTCCTGGTGGTGCCCCCGGTCATCACAGGAAAGGCCGGGCCACGGACTTCCGAGTAACGGCCACTGAGAAGCCTGTGTGGCACACTTCTACTCAGATACACAAGGAGGCACCGAGAGTTGGGTGTGGACTCCACAGCACTGGGCACTTCCTAGCTGTGGTGCTCTAGGGTCAGCACTGGACACTAACCTGCTCCTCAGAAACCCTCCACAGGGTTGCAATGAGTCGGACTGACTCTAGGCCTATGAGCTGTGGCTGCCTTACCTGCATCACACGTCTGTGTGTGTCTGGGTGCTCTTGTGTCCGCGTGAGCCATGTGGGGCTTGTATCTGGTCTGCTCTCCAGACTCCATTCTAATGAGGCGCGGCCTCTGCTACCGCCTGAGAGCTGCTTGGGCTTGTCCATGTTGTGGTCAGACTTTATGCTCTCCAGATGGGCTGGAAGCGTGTGTGCATGCAGTTTACTGTATGAAACAACTGGGGAGGTGGGAGGGAGTTCAGAGCGCCACTCCTCAGTCATCTGTGGGACAACATGATGCTTCCTGTTTGGTTTTGGAGTTTTAAAATACAAAGAATCCCTTCCTTTCTTGTTTTTCCAACCCTTTTTAGAGGGTGCTAAACCGCAGTCATGATTACGTAAGATTCTGAGGGTTGACACACGTCAGCATTGCTGATCCAGCACAGGACAGACCGGGCTGGTCAGTCCTGAACGCTGGCCCAGAGGGAGACGTTGTTCGCCGAGGCGACAATGTGGTTCTCTGTTGTCGGGAGAGAGGAGTCGGCGGTGAGTTTCTGAAGGGTGCTCTTGCTCGTCTTTTTGAAGAATGTTTCTTTTCCACTCGCTAGCGTGTCTCAGCCTGGCGATGATTAACCTGCGCCTGAAGCAGCCACGTCACCTGGCCTGTGACCACACAGCCTGTTTTCATGCTGCGGGAAGGGCCGTGCTGACGCCTGCAGGGGAGCTAGCTGGCTGTGGAGAAGGCAGTTTCCCTTCAGAGTGACTGTTCTCTAAGCACCTAGCTGTTGGATTGTGGGATTTAGAAATGGGGAGTTACGGAGAGCTTTACAGCTGTAATGGTTTGTGCTGACGTTACTACGCCTTGCCTTATTTAGTTAGCTTACAACACAAAATCGTAGGACCCCCCACTCTTTCTGAACGGCGCTTGTGAGTTCTTGGAAGACTGCCAGCCTTCCTGTCTGTCCTCGTTGGGACCACGTGGGGAAGAGCCAGCAGGGCAGTGGGTCTGCAGGCGCTTGGCTCCCTGTGACTATCGGGTGCCCTTCCCTGGTGCCAGCACAGTGTACTAAAGGGTACAGCGCTCCTCCAGGTGACGGCTGAGGGATCGGGAAAGTAGTAGGGGATTGTTTAAGCCTTTCTATGATCATGGCTCAGGGGTGCTTCTAGCAGGCTGGAAAAGTGAGTTTCTCTACTAAGTATTCAGCCTTAGGGACAGAAATGGGACGCCTGGCAGGAGCTCCACGTGTTCCTTCAGTTACCTGGGTGACACCCCAGCCTGCTGCCCACCTCATTGCCACAGCGCCTGGGGTAGCTGAGCCTGCCCTCTGCTGAGAGACATCCTCCCCGTCTCTGGGCTTCGGGGGGGATCCATGGGCCTCTGGGAGCCCAGCTGTCCACAGAGGCTGGACCCTGGCTGCAGTGGTTGGGAGCCGAGCTGTCCTCAGAGGCTGGACCCTGGAGTCTCCAGCCCCTGCTGGAGGTACAGAAAGAAGAAGACCCTTTCTACCCCTAAGACAGAGCCTGGGAAAGTTGCACACCCCCTGGTCTGCATGAGACAGTGTAGGGAATTGGAGCTGCTCATCTAGCTGCTGTTGCCACCTTACGTCAGCCCATTGTTGTTCCTGAGCCTCTGGCTAAACAATCTAGACCCCCCCACCCACCCAGCCGCCTGAAACAATAGCTGTGCTCAGGCTGTGTGCAGACAGGCCTTTCTGTGGGAATGGAGCGATGCTATCTATCTTCAGGGTTACTCATTGCACCTCCCACACTCCCCTGAGCGGCCACAGGGCCCTGGCTGAGCACAGTGCTGGCCTGCTTCTCCTGGGAGCCATTCCCACCAGGACCTCAGGTGAGCAGTCCCTGAAACAAGCGCTGCCGGGGGTCCCTCTCCCTCCCTCCCCCTGGGAGCCCCGTGGGGAGTGGTCCCTGAGCTGTGCCTCAGGCTGGCATCCTTCTTTGGTGACTTTTGGTGGTTTGTTTAGTAGTGCCTTCTCCCTCCATGACTTCCCCTAGGAGAGTGTTTCAGATGCAGCTGTTCTTAACACCCCTTCTCCCCTTGTCTCAGCCCTCTCTTCTCTCCTCTTTGTTAGCATTCCCATCCAACTCCCTTAGGAAGCAGAGACCCTCCACCGCAGTTTCAGATGCAAATGTGGAGTCAGTACTTGGATGCCTGGGATTGCAGTTTGAGTTCTTGAAAAGGGTTAGGGGAGCTCTGTCTTCCTGTCCTTTCTGTTGTCCTGGCAGGAGGAGTGTGTGTGTGCAGCCCCTGTCTGCTGCTTCTAAGGCATGTGGCATTGGATGCCGGGCAGCTGAAGGCGTATTCCCTGCTTCTCCTGACCTCCACTATCTGAGGTTGGAGACTTGGTTCCAAGCTTGTCTTAGCTTCCATTTGTGATTCCTAGCACGTTTCAAATATGGAACTGCTTTCTAACTGATTCTTTTATAAACATGTTTGTAATCTTAAATGAGTAATAGGTAATCCTAATTGTTATGATTTTGCGTTTGCTGAGTATTATTTTTGGTGGGTGGGGAAGACTGAAAAAGCCACTAATGCCTTTTCAGATCCTATTTTCGGTTACTTTAGGCAGGAACTCTTAAGACTGGGTAGCCTTTGTTATGTTGGTACTACGCCTGTTCCAGTTTCCATGGGTCTTGTTTCCTGTTCTCGTGGTTTACGATTAGATGTATAGAGTTATCCTGTGCTACTGCCATCAAGGCGCTGAACTGCGAGGTCCGCGGTTCAAGTTCACCAGTTACTCCTTGGAAACCCAGTACAGGGTCTTTATGAGTTGGAACCAGCTCAGCGGCACTTACAAGAACAGACTCAGCAGAGTATTGGTGTGACGCTGTAGCACCAGCTGCTCCTGGGAAACAAACCCTACACAGGGGCACCATGGACAGACCGAAGGCAACAAGTCAATGAATGTGGAATGTGGAATTTTCTGGGTGAGGTCTTGCTTAGACCCAGTGAACCACATTGTTGCCCGTTTCCGGCTACACCTGTGGATACTAACCGCATGCGTTGTGGTCTGGAGGACATAGATCTGCGGAGAAGCTGTGTGTTTAAGCACAGCTCTGTCCACTGCACATGCGGTGTGAGCCACAGGTGTGCTTCCAAATGCTCTGCCAACCACACCAAAATATATATGGAAACCAGACAAGTGTGATTTTTGATAATGAGTTTTATTTAACCCAGCCTATCCAACCTGCTCTGGGCTTAGGGTGTGGTCAGTTCAGCATTTACCGCTGAGGGGTTTGATGTGTTTCGGAGACTTGGACTGTCTCATAGCCACTGCCCATTTCTGTAGCAGGCCGGTGTCGGCACTAAAGGGACTTTATTTTAGCGATGGATGGATGACCAAATTGAAGTGCCTGGACCTCACCTGTTGTCTTAATTGGGAAAATAAATAGAGTCACCATGAAGTTGCCTGCCATTGTGTGTGTACAGTGGGGAGTAACTGGATTTTTCAAGTCAGTCTTGGTGGTGTTAAGTGCAGTTGAATTGGTTCCCACTCATAGCAACTCTGGGTAGGGTTTCCACCGAGCAGCAGGTGAGTTTGAGCTGCTGTGTGGTTAGCAGTCCTGTGCTTACCTTACAGCACCACACCAGGACTCTTAGGGTATCTTAACAGGCTAGATTGATTTGTGCATTATTGTTCGGAAGGAAGGTACAAATGAGCTGATGACGTGTTTCTGGAACTCGTGTCATTGTGTTTTATGCCTCTGTGTTCTTCTTTTTCTTGGGATGATGTGGGGCAGGCCAGCAGGGCACTTAGCAAAATTAGGAATTGTCACCCCTTGGCTCCTCCTCTGAGACCAGGCTTCAGCAGTAGTGGGAGTTAGCAGGGGGACATTAGCAGAGCAGATACGTCCTGTCAGCCCCAGGCAAGCCTGCTGTGGCTGCATGGAGACGGTGGCTCACCTGGCAGCTGGGCAGAGAACTAGATGTTTGGCGCTGGAAGAACACTGCAACTTCCTGGAATTCTCTTTATCTCCAGCATATCATTAGTCATTTGGTTTTTCTGAAAGAATTGCTATTAGAACTGTACTTTTCTAATAACAACGGCTGTACGAAGGGACTTCAGAAGGTTTGTGGAGAAATTCCATGATCTTTTCCTTCCATTTGTCTATGAACTTTTTGGAGCTCCCTTGTATCTGCAGTCTGTCTGGCCACGTGTGGAGCACAGGTGGGATCCAGATGAGCACAGAGGTTGGCAGAGTGCCAGCGGAGGCGAGCAGGGCGGTGACTGGAGCCAGGCAGTCTGCAGGGGGCGGGGAGCCCACAGGGAGGTCGGCAGCAACATTTGCTGCTAGAGGGCGTTCGCGGGGTACTAGTGCCAGCCGGGACCCCAGCCGCAGTTTGGATCCCTGTCAGAAGATTTTAGATCTAGACTGTACTTTTGTGCCTTTTCTTTTTCCTAAGAATATTTTTTAAGTAGCTTATTTCATGATTCATTGTTAATGAATGGCTGTAAAGTCTATTTTAATTTAAAACCTAGAGTAGACATTGGAGACTTCTGTGGTTCTTTTGAACTGGGGCCTCAAACCATCATGGAAGGAGCCCGAGGGTGCTGATCTCAAGGTCAGCAGTTCAAATGCATCAGCCATCTGCTGTCTGCTCATAACTGTGTAAGAAAAGAGAGGCCAGGTTTTCACTACTTTACCCCCAATTGATGATTACCCTACTGTTGTTGAGTGGACCCTGACTCCCAGCAACCCCATAGGACAGAGTAGAATCCCGCTCCTCAGGGTGTCCAGTTTTGCAGGGACTGACAGTGTTGTTGAGCTCCGGCCCACGGGTACATTTCTGGTCCCAGGAGTACAGCTGGAGTGAGAGGTACGCACAGTGTGCCCGTATGTGGGCGGGTAAGACCCCATTTGCAGCAGTGCAGCTTAGAGCTGAGTGCATGGTGCTGACTGTCTGTAGTCTGCCCAGGGGGACAGCTACAACCTGGCATCATGCTGACCGTTCCCAAGGGACGCACAGTCCAGACACCCCCTCCTTGGACCCACTCCAGGACTTGGGTATTTCCAGAGTTGGGAAGCCACGTTCTACGTGGCAGCTGATGTGTTTCCTCAGGTTCTGTGTCGGAAGTAAGTCCCGATTTCTGTGCACACGCCTTCTTTCAACAGGAGGGACGGACCTTCCATAGATGCCGTCCAGACCTAGGACAGGTAGCAAGCACCTTCCCATGGGAAACGTGCAGCCCTGTCGACTTCACAGTTGCTTCTCTGACATTCTTGCGCCTAAGCCATCACCATCCTTGTCATGTTGGGGAGGCTTCTTCCAGTCCGCAGCGGTGCCCCAGGCAGCTGGCTCCATGTGGACGGGCTCCCAGCAGGCGGTAGTTTAGTTGACCCGTATATTCTGGGCATAGTGGCTGCTTCGGAGCTCACAGCTGCATTTCATTCCATAAGAGCACCCCCTCTCCACACGGGCTTCTTTAGCACGAGGGATCCCTAGTGCATTGTCACAGAACACACAACAGCCTCACTGGCATCAACCGTGGGGCAGGCAGGCAGTGCTCCTTGACTGCAGAGCCCAGGAAGGTGTCTGTGGTCAGTGGAGGGCAGGTCAGCTAGGAGGGAGTGGCAGACAGGCTGAGAAAAAGGTGAGCCTGGAGGTATGTTGGTGTGGGCCGAGTGCAGGACACCAGAGCAGAGCTTGGGTTGGGGATGGTGGCGTGGTGGAAGCGTGCAGAGCCAGTGGGTCAGGACAGTCGAGTTGTGCCGTGTATGGGCCGTAAAGGACCAACTACCCAGGCTGCAGACATGCTCGTGCTCCCTGCAGCCTGGGTGAAGCGCACCGAGTTGGGGTTTCTGTTGGGCAGCGGTGCTAGTAGTTTCCGTCCGGTTTGTAGTCACTGCTCAGTGAAGACGGGAAGCCCACGCTATGCTGTGACTGGGGAATGCAAGTACCTTCCCAGAGTGAAGATACCAATCACAGGAGAGCTAGCTGGTGACACGGGCTGACGGCTTGGCTGCTAGCCCACAGGCTATTGGTTCAAACCCACCTGAGGCCCAGTCATCTTCTGGACAGACTGGTGATGGGTGTGGTGCTGATAGTGGAATCTGCCCTACGGGGTTGCTGTGAATCAGGACAAAGCAGAGCTGGCCCATGGGTGCCAGAGACTGATACCTTTATAGGAGTGGATCACTAGGCCTCTTTTCCTGAACGATCACTGCTAGGTTCAAACCATCAACCTTTCAGCTAGCAGCCATTGTCCCACGCCCTGTCACATGGGGTCACTCTGAGTCCGAAGCAACTCCAGGATCTCAAAAGACAGCAGCAATGACATGAATTTAGGTGGAGTTGAGTTGTGGCCTAGGAACCCTTAGCTTTGCTATGGAATGTTGGCAGTGATGTCCAGGTGAAACTGAGCGTGTGTGGCTGGCTTCTAGTCATGCTGTTGATTCTGTGCAGCCGCCATGTGAGGTCCCCTCACTCCTTCTTAGCGCGACTCATTTCACAGGTGGGTGGCAGCACCCATGGAAAACCGAGTCTCCCGAGCACAGCGGTACTGTGTCTGTCTGAGTGCTGGCCACAGGAAGGTTGGGTCTCCTTGTGTTAGAAAACTCTGTGTATGAAAAGAATGAGTAACTATTGGGATGGAGAAATACTGTATTAAATTGTATTTTTATTAAGGTGATTAATCTTCGTGTTGTTAAATGTGGTTTTCAGTTCACTGTTGAGGACATTCTTTCCACATCTATTTTCCTCAACCAGTTTACTACCTGGCTTGAAATCTAGAAGGGTGTCATCAGGGTTGTGTCCTCTCACCACACGTGTGCGGTCTGTATGCTGAGCAGATAATCTGAGAAACTGGGTGATCTGAAGAACGTGACATCAGGAATGGAGGAAGGTTCATCCAACCTGTCATATGCAGATGATACAACCTCACAAAAGTCCTTGCCGCTGAACCAATAAATAACATCAGGCTAAGCGGAGAAAAGACTGGAATTGTCAAAGGCTTCATTTTCCTTGGATCCACTATCGAATACACTCGTAGACGCAGCAGTCAAGAAATGAAGCATCATGTTGCCCTAGACTAACCGACCGCACCAGGCCTCTTGAAAGTGTTCAGAAACAAAGACGAGACTGTAGACTAAGGAGGGCTTCCCCCCACGTCAGGCAGAGGGGAGAAGAATTCATGGATGACTCGCATTGTGGTGTTGGAGAAGGCTATCGACTGTACCAGGGAGCAGCCAAGGAACCAGCAAACCTGTCTTGGAAGAAGTCTAGCCCGACGCTCCTTAGAGGCCGGAATGGCCAGACTTTAGCTTACTCACTTCGGACATGGCAGAATCATTGCTGGAGAAAAGTGTCAGACTTACTAGTAAAAGTGGTGCCCTGGGTTAGGCATTAGGACGACTAATGTCAAGGCTGACAATTCCAGCCCACCAGCCGCTCCATGGGGAAAAGACGGACAGTCTTGGAAAAGCCCATGCAGGGTTGCTATGAGTTGGAATGGACTCGGTGAGAGTGGGTGGGTCTGTGAGTAAAGTAGGAGGTCAGTGAAGACGAGGACGACCTTAACGAGCTGGACACACAGTGTAGGCCCAGGCACTATTTCCAGCAGCAGCGGATTCAGTGATAACCTTTTCTTTCCTCTTTTCCAGGAATATTTTTCAGTTTATAGATGCAAAATGGTAGCGTTTCTTGTTGGCTTAACTTTACAAATACAAAATGAATGCTAGGAACACAGTTGTGAGGCACTTGACCAGGGCAGCGAATGCGTTCCAGGTCCCTTTGGCTGTGGGCAGTCGGTTTGTGGTTGGCCTGCTGGGCCTTTTTCAACGCTGTGTTTTCTCCTTTTTGCCTAGGGCGCAGGTCAAGATAAACTGGGAATCTATGTCAAGTCTGTGGTCAAAGGCGGTGCGGCAGATGTGGTTAGTACAAGTGTAAATAAAGCTGCACGTTTCCAACATTTCGTACTTTTGACCAGGGGGAGGGGAGGGAAGGGGCTCCACTGACGTGTGGTTTATAAAACATTTGCTACAAGAACAAAAACTGAGGAACAGCTATGAGCGGTCCTAACTTCCTTTTCCTGTTTCTCTCCTCTCCTCCCTGCTGTCCCCACATTGTCCTGGCACACTCCTGTGCACGCACATTCACACACCCACCCCTCTGGGTGTGCAAAGGACGGGCGCTTGGCTGCAGGTGACCAGCTCCTTAGCGTGGATGGACGAAGTCTGGTAGGACTGTCTCAGGAAAGGTAGGACTTATTATGGATGGAAAATTCATGTGAGATTCATGCTAGGTCAGTTCTATTTGAAACTGAAAGATGAAAAGGAACCCTGAGCAGCTTTGTTCTTACCTGTCACCTTCTGGGGGTGTGACCTTTCATTTGTTGACAAATGATCATTCTGTATTGTGGTCTGGACTGGTTTCTTGGAAGTTTACAAAAGGAAGGTCAAACTAGCAGGCCTTATTGAAGCTTTCGAGTGCTACTCCCAGAGGAGGGTGGCGGCAGGGGCTTTGTGGAAGAGGCGGCCGGTGCCTCGCTGACCTGACACGTGTGTGGTCTCTCCCAGGGCTGCAGAACTTATGACCAGGACAAGTTCTGTGGTGACGCTTGAAGTCGCAAAGCAAGGAGCCATTTATCACGGCCTGGCCACACTGCTCAACCAGCCGTCTCCGGTGATGCAAAGAAGTAAGGGACCCTGGGGGCCGGGGTGAGGCAGCCTGCCGAGTGGGCCTCACAAGTATCCCTGTATTCCGAGTCAGGCTGGGGATGCGAGCAATGGAGTGGGGTGCCCAGCACACTAGATAGCTCTGCTTTGCAGGAACCAGGGTCCCTGTGGGCTTTCGGGCCCCTCCCCTCAGAGTCCTTCACCCAGACCTCTGTGGGACCAGCTCGCTGCTGTCCTGTCTCCTGACTCATGACCACGTGCACCTGTGAGCAGGCTTGCAGTTCTGTGATTGTTGAGGGACGAGTAATCCATTAGAAGACCACTCCAGTAACAATCTCAGGAATCCCACGTAAAACGTTTGAATTTAGGGCTTTGTTAAGAACTAGTTAGAAACCACAGTGACTGATGGGATTTCTGAAGTCGGAAAAGGCCTCTGGCTCAGTCTAACGCTACACTTGGCTAACTGTGTGCCAAGTCCACCAGGAGGGCCCTAACCTAGGAACCCTTGTCCCCTAAGTTGTTACTCTGGGGGCTAAGCCTGACCTGACAGTAACTAGCAGAGGCATCTGAGTACCCCAAGCTTGGGCTTATCAGGGGACACTGGACTCCTGACAGAGCCACATGTTGTATGACATCTCAGCTGTCTCGCTGCTTCATCTAAAGTCTTTTAGAAGAAGCCAACTGGACTTGGAGATCAAAGGGGAAGCTGCTAGCATAGCTACTGAGCAGGCTCACCAAGCCCAGGGAGACGAGCTTAGGGGTGCTTATACACAAGACCCTGAAGCTCTGAAAAATCGATGCATGTAAGGCAGGCACGAGGTGGCGGTGCTAGCCCTCAGTTAATAAGAAATGCTACTTTAGAAGTTGTTTTGTGACTTAGAGAAGTTTTCGGTTTATGAGAAAGTATAGTTTGAAAATGTACTTTCTAAAAATACACTTATTTAAAAGCATTTTAAAATGTCCAAGGAAAAGTTGGACAGTTTAAGAATCACCTGGTTCTTAGGCTCAGCATCTGATCTGCCTGGAGAATGTTAAGCTTTGGTAGATACCAGGTGTTTAAACAGATGCTGAGCACATGAGGACGTCTTAAGTGTCTGTGGTTTCAGTTTCAGATCGCCGGGGCTCAGGTAAACCGCGACCAAAGAGCGAAGGCTTTGAGCTCTACGCTAATTCTGCTCAGAGCGGGTCGCCCGAGAGTCCTCCGCTGCCCTGGGCAGAGTACAGCGAGCCTAAGAAGCTGCCCGGAGACGACAGGCTGATGAAGAACCGCGCAGACCACCGCTCTAGTCCCAACGTGGCAAGTAAGAGCCACTGCCTTTCCTTCCTGTGTCCAGGTCTTCCCCAGTGACATCCCAGCCAAGCTCTGGGGACCCCGGGACCACTTTCTAGGCAAAGCCACTGATGACATCTGTAGCGGGGGTGGTAGCTTACCTACAGGAGGGGGGATGATTGGCTTTGATTGTTCTATGGAGTGGTTACAGAAGAGGAGGAGGAAGGAGAAGAAAGACAGGGAGTGCTCATCCTTCTCGAGCCCAGGCCCCCCAGCACAGAGCTCCGTCCCTGGCCTGGGGCCTGGCCCCCCTGCCCCGTGAAGTCTGTGTGAAAAATACTGCACTGCACACTATGTGTCTGTACTAACTCCCGACTGTTTCCCACAGACCAGCCTCCTAGTCCTGGAGGGAGGCACCCCTACACGGCGGGGGCGACAGCTAAGATCACGTCTGTGTCCACTGGAAACCTGTGCACTGAGGTCTGATTCCACAGCTCCCCTGGAGGCCCCAGGCCCCACAACACTGCCGCCCCCAGAGTAGCTGCGGCTGATCGAATGCACCAATTACAGCATTTCATCTTTTGAATTTGGGTGCGGTGGTGATGTTCTCCGCTGCTAGCTGCATCTCCGGAGAAAGACCAGGCAATGTGCCCCTGCAGAGAGGGCACCCTCTGGAGCTCTGGGGGCGGCCCTGCCCTGTCCTGCAGGCTCGCTCGCTGTGGGTCGGAATCGACACTTTGGCAAAGCGCTTACTGCTAGCCAAAAGGTCGGGGCTCAAACCCGCCAGCTGCTCCTCGGGGAGAAAGGTGTGGCCATCTGCTCCTATAGCGACCACAGCCTTGGAGACCCTGTGGGGCAGCTCTCCTCTGTCCCAGAGTGTCTGAGTTATAACCGACTGGGTGGCATTGGGTGTTTGGGGTTGGTAGTTAAATGCGTTTTTAGTTACTCGCTGGGTGGGCTCTGGCACCCCTTTAAGACACATGCTAGTGTTCACTGACCGTGCTACTTGGAAGGTTAGGGAGCCCACTGTACAGACCGTGAGCCCCAGCTCTCCTTGCTCTTCCTTTCTAGGAGCAAAGCCCTCCGCCCAGGCCTGAAGCGTACCCCATCCCCACCCAGACATACCCCAGAGAGTATTTTACCTTCCCGGCTTCCAAGTCCCAGGATCGGATGGCTCCTCCGCAGAGCCAGTGGCCACATTATGAGGAGAAGGCCCCTGTGCACCCCGACAGTAACCACCCCAGTGTGGCCATTCAGGTGAGATGACATTACCGGAGGGCCACCCAGCATGGTGGGCAGACGTGGCCTCCTGGCTCTGTGGTCCGGCCTCAGCAGCAGTCTCTAAGGCGAAGAAGTCACAGGTTCTGGGGCGGGGAGTGAGGGACCTGTTCATGTCAGAGATCCCAGCTGCCCTTAGCTGCTGGCGAGGTGGGGACAGTCCAGTGAGGCTGTACACGGGTTCCTGGATGGTAGAGGGAATGGGTACAGCTGTGTGGCTGAAGAGCCCAGTGTGGCCCAGGTGGGAGGCTGTGGAGTTGGGTGGGGCTTCAGGGAGAACCCAGGTTAGTGGGTGCAGCAATGTGGAAGGCCTGGACACTGCTGTCCCCTTTGGACGGACAGCAGGAAGCTCTGTGATGTTTCTCTTGAGTCAGCGGGCGGACAGGGAGGGCTGTGCCCTGTGCCTGCCTCAGCAGGAGTGTCTGCTGTGAATCTGCAGGAAGCTGTGGGTACCCATTAGCACTCTGGGCTCCCGCATAGCCGTGTAGGAGCCGAAGTGCAGCCTGGGGCCGCAGGCGAGGAAGGGTGGTGATGGAGAGAGAGCCGCTCCCTGAGAAAGCTCTTCCATCCCGCTGGCCAATGCCAGCTTCTCTGTAAAGATGAAGTGTTGGGGGCTTCTTGGTGACAGAGGAACCCATCTATTCCCCTTTGCCAGCGTGTGACCCGTTCCCAGGAAGAGCTGCGAGACGAGCAGGCCTACCAGCTGGAGCGGCATCGCATAGCCCCAGGGGTGGACCGGAAGTCGGACAGCGATCTCTGGATCAACCAAAGCTCCTCAGTGGAGTCCAGCACGTCCAGCCAGGAGCACCTGAACCAGTCCTCCAAGTCCGCCACCCCTGCGTCCACATTAACCAAGAGCGGCCCTGGCCGCTGGAAAACGCCAGCCCCCATCCTGCCAACCCCAGTGGCCATCTCCCAGCCCATCCGCGCAGACCTGCCGCCCCCACCCCCGCCGCCCCCCGCACACTATGCCAGCGACCTGGATGGCATGCCCTTAGAGCTGCCTCTGCCGCCGCCCCCCTCCGGCGGCCAGACTGGCGGCCCTTGTGGCCCAGCGGCGGCGGCAGCGGCGGGGGCAGCTACGGAGCGGAAGAGGGAGGAGCAGCAGCGCTGGTACGAGAAGGAGAAGGCCCGGCTGGAGGAGGAGCGCGAGAGGAAGCGCAGAGAGCAAGAGCGGAGGCTGATGCGCACGCAACCCCTGCCCCCCACGCCCTTCTCCCCCGTGACCGTGCAGCCCTCCAAGCCGGAGACCGTCATCCGGGAGCTCCAGCCTCAGCAGCAGCCGCGCACCATCGAACGGCGGGACCTGCAGTACATCACCGTCAGCCGCGAGGAGCTGTCGTCTGGTGACAGCCTGTCCCCGGACCCGTGGAAGCGCGATGCCCGCGAGAAGCTGGAGAAACAGCAGCAGATACACATCGTGGACATGCTGAGCCGGGAGATCCGGGAGCTGCAGGCCAAAGCCGAGCGCAGCGCCGACGACAACGACCGGCTGCGCAAGCTCATGCTGGAGTGGCAGTTCCAGAAGCGACTGCAGGAGTCCAAGCAGAAGGACGACGACGACGAGGAGGACGACGAGGACGACATGGACGCCTTGCTGCTCATGCAGCGCCTGGAAGCGGAGCGCAGAGCCCGGGTAAAGGGGGGCGGGGCCTAGCCCTCAGGACTCCTCCTCTTCCGCTGCAGCAGAGAGCTGTGGTGCCCTGGCAGGGAGGGTGGCGACCAGGGTCCACACACACAGGGCTGTGGCTGCGTTCCCCTAACAACGCTGTGTGCCCAACACGCCGTGGAGATCGGGCAGGAGCAGCCCGTGCTGGGTCACTGTAGCGGCTGCGCGGGGTCACCGCTCATGAGGCAGGTTCCTTACCCAGGTAGTGATCCGCCGCCAAGGACAGTCACTGGGCCTATAAGCCCCCAGGCTGGCAGTGCTCTGCAGGAAAAAGAAGGCTTCTGCTCCCCTAATGATGATTTACTGAGTCGGAACCGACTTGGTAGCACCTAACTGCTATCACATTCCTCAGTGTAGTGTAGACGCTGATGGCTTCCGTTTGAGTATATTCCATATTCTCAGAATAAACTGCTTTCGTTCTTTTTTAAAAAAATTTTCAAAACTAAAATAGCTTAGTGCCATAAATTGTCAAATGGCCAAATTTAAGAAGAACGCAAGATTCCTTGTTTTCTCCCAAAAACATTGTTAACAGAGAGATATCAGCAGACAAGTTTGTGGGTGGTGCCTACCGTGGCCAGTGACCCTTTAAACCCTTCTACCCAGGCAGCATTCTGAGGAAAGACAGCCAGGAATGTGGTCTTTCTCTCTTGCGCCTCGATTCTCGTTCCGTGGCTCCCTGGCTGAGCTGGCCACCTACAGGAGAGACACGGGCCCAGCCGCCTCCTGACTGCCCACAGCCTCGGCTAGCCTGGGGTTTGTTTCCTCCATGGTCACGCAGCCCCCCAAGGCCAGCATGGCTCCCTCTGGAGACACTCGGCTTCCTAACTGTTGTCTGTTTCGTTCTGTTATTTCCAGCTCACTAGCAGTGAGCTCCCTAAGTAGTCTGGGACTAGGACATGCCTGCTTGACTGTGTGGCTCCCACTGCTCCCCCCCCACCCCCCGCCCCGAGCGCTGGCCTCTCTCTGCTTGTTGTGGTCCGCCTCCTCTGGCCAGGGCCCCTGTGGGCACATCACACACCAAGCCATTGCCAAGGGACTTGTGCTGTGGCTGTGTGTGTCCCAGCCCCAGACCCAAGCAGGCGACAGGCTCAGCTTCTCCCCCCGCTCGTCTGCGATGTGTCGATGACCAGTAAGGTGACTATTGTTCCTGTGTTTGCTCTCCTGGGAGGACTCTGCTTTTATGGTGGGCCTCTCTGAGTTGTCCCACCTGGGGACACACGGGAAACTTGTCAGTGTCAGCGAAGGTGCTCCTGTCCTTTTCCTCCGGAGTCCTGTGTGTTACTGTGCCGGAGCTGGGGGGATCAGCTGTGTATCTGAATGAAGAAGTTCAGATATATTCGACAGCAGGTGGTCACTTGTGTTTCTGATGATTGTAAGTTCTTTACTTTTCTCACTGGGTTGCACCTCAGAAACCGAGGCAGTGAGATAGCAGCAGGATGCAGTGACAGAAGACAGGCTCAACGTCACTTTTGTTCACACTCCATCTTTCTTTTTTTCCTCTCTGTTGCCTGCAGCAGACTGCTCTGCCAGCAATCTCTGTTCTAGATTTGGTAGGTCCTGCTTTCTTTGCTCCTTCCCTCCTGTCCTGGCTCCCTTCTCTTCAGTGGTGGTTGTTTTGTGTTTCCTTAGACCCAGGGCCATAGTTCAGCCACTTGACGCATGCCTAGAGTCTCGCTCACCCACCCTCTCTGCTTCTCCCCGTGAACTTGATGTGTTCCTGTCTGTTCCTGGTCCTGTCTTTAGCTGTAGATCTGACCCACCTGTGTGTTCTCATGTAGTCGTAGAATTTGGCAATCAGTAGTGTGTGTCATTCTTGTGACCTTAGAACCGGTTACACTGTTGGAAACTCAGTTGAAGTGGGGCTGACATGGTTACCCACTGACTCTCACTGGCTGGTAGGAAGGACTGAGGGATTCCAGCACTAAAAACACATGGGATTTCCTTTGCAGCCACACCCATGTGCAGTTTCCCACCACATGGGGTCCCTTGGTGCCCTTTGGACAGCCCCCCACTGGCCAGTGTGGGACAGTGCAGGGGGCCAGCACCACACGGTGCCGGCAGCAGTTCCCGAACCCCACCTTCACACCAACGATGCTGGATGCTCCTACACAAGGGGACGAGCATAAAAACGCACTTTCCCCCACGACTTCCTGTGGTGTGGTGTGGTGTGCGTATGGTGCGTGGCTCAGAGGACTGACCTTCCAGTATCACTATGTGAGACGGGACACCCCAGCAGGCACTGGGTCACACCCCTGGGGGCTGGGCCCTGGACTCCTGGTATCACCTGACCGGTGAGTGACAGCTCTGAAGGAGAAGGGCTGTTTGATTTCAGAGGAGGAGCTCGAGAGTTTGGTCTTGACCTTGAAGAGATTGTGACTTTTCATACTGACTTTGACCTCCAGGTGTGACTCACTCCTACAGTAAACCTTCATATTACTCTACACAGAATCCTCATTCTGTCACCGTGGGAGCCCCCTCTGTCCAGTGGCCTGACCACTGGGCGTCTCTGCCCCCTCCAGCCTTTTCTCACAGGCTTGTCAGAGCTTTTTATTTTATAGTGAGCCCACCTCTCCAGTTCTGCAGGCCTTCCCACCATGGCACCAAGCGCCAGGCCCATGGGCATTGCCCCAGGTGCAGGGCTGGACTGCGGCCTGGCCATCCTCAGAGCAGAACCTTCCCTGCTTCACAGTGGCATTTGGGCCTGAAAATATTTCCTGGGGGTTGAGGGAGCAGATCGTTTCTTAGATGTGCAAGCAGACCTGGTTGTTTTTAGTGAAAATGTTGGAAGAGGATCTATCTGCTGGGCATTCTAGACTCAAGCCGTGAGCTCGTGTATTGTCATGGTGGACTTGTGCAGCAGGCAGAACTCAGCAGACTCATTTGAAAACAGAAGGGACCTTTTTGGGACGTGTGGGGCCGTGGCTGCATCAGAGCCTAGGACAGGCTGGCGTGGCCACCTCTGAAGTCCTAGGTGGTGGTGGGTGGTGGTGGTTGTGATGTGCCGTGGAGTCGGAACCAACCCATAGCGACCCTGTACAGGGTTTCTGAGGCTGTAAATCTATGGGAGCAGAAAGCTGCAGTAGACAAGTAGAAATCCTCCCTCCCGAGTGCCTTTGGTTGTGGGACTCAGCCCCATGGTTACAGCCGAACTGCCCACCTACCTTCCAAGGCATCATGGATTAGGTTTGAAACTCCAGCCTTTGAACTAGGAGTAGAGCAGTAGTGGAGTGCTTAACTGTGTGTGCCACTCCTGTAAGGCCCGTCTAAGGCATTTCGTGTATATCTGGTCATGGCTCTTTGGGGGAAACCGCGAGCTCATGTCCCTAACATGGAACTTGGGTGCTCCTCCCCTCCTGAACACATGTGTGGTGGCTCCCTCACTCCTGTTTGTGGGAGAACTGGAGTGAAACTGCGTTGTTGTAAAGAACAAACTCGCTTCTGTTTGGAAGTAAAAGCTCTCTGGGTGGCAGGACGGTGGGAAGAGCTAGGTGGGTTGTGCTGGTCCCACCCAGGGAGGTGAAGCTCTCCTGAGACACTGGCTCTGAGGATGATAGAGGTTTTCAGGGGCAAATTTGGCAAAAACAAAGTAAATGAGAATTGGGATTGTTCTGTTTTTTAAAAAGTCATACTTGTACTGAAAAGAATGTAGTCCTGGTGTGGCGCTGTGGGTTAATGCGCTGGACTGCAAGGTCGGTGGTTCAAGCTCACCAGCCGCTCCTCAGAAACCCTATACAGGGTGGCTATGGGTCGGCACCAACTCGATGGCACTTCACAACAACAAGAACCAGTTGGCAGTGTCCACGAGCCGTCTTCTTGCTCCGAAGCAGCCAGGCCCAGAAAGGCCATGATTTGTTCTTGATCTTTGTGTAGATCCCCCCGCCACAGAATGTGGAACGTCCTAGTAGCTGGAGTTTTGTTGCCTTTCCCTGAGTGGCATTTCTCATAGACTGTCCTCAAGAGGCCTTGACTTATGCAAACCTAAGTCTCTGGCCTTGCGGGCCCCCAGTCACCCCACGTGGAGCTCTGGGGAGACAGGCTCCGTGGGGCAGGCAGTTTCTCTGCTTCATCCTGCTGTTCTGGGTCCCAGTTAGCAGTGTTTACTCTTGCTACAAAAGGGGGAGAAGTCTGATGCTGTGTTGGGGCTTATTCAGACAAGAAGCCTAACAGCCTTCCTACCACGTGTGTGTCCCACATGTTTGGCGGGGGAGGCAGTGGTCAGGTCTTCAGGTTGGCTTTCTTTAGGAAACTTGCATGCAAACCCAAGCCGAGTCCAGAAGTTGACATGGGAGTTTTTGGTGTCCACAGTGGTTTTACAGCCATAGAAACATGATGGCTTTGAGCTCTCTCTTCATTTTGGAGATTCTGAGTTGGCTCTGCACTGGAAGGAGACATCCCGGAGGGAGGAGGGCATGTCAGAGTCACTATGCTGTGAGGCTGTGGCAGCTCGAATCCATGTGTCCGAACATAAGCTGGTCTGGCCCGAGTTTGACAGGGCTGGAAACGTGGCCTGTAACAAAGAACTGAAACCTCAGAGAAAATATGTTTGAGGAAAACCAAGGCACCAGCCCCCCCCAACCTACACCCCCTCAGAACTGGAAGAGGAGGAAGGAAGGCCCGGATTATGTTTTAAGAGGGCCATGCTAGAAGGACCCAGATGGCCTCAAAGCCATCAGGAGGCAGGTTTGACCAGTCGTTTCCTGAAAATGCATGGCCTGTCTTGGGTGGTAGGTAGGGGGGCTCCCTAGGCACATGTCCAGGCGGAGGTGGGCAGTTAAAAGGATGAGGGTGGACATGTGACATGTCCATTTGGAGGTGGGCAGTTGGGAGTAGTGGGGTGGACATGTGCCAAGTCCAGGGGGAAGTGGGCAGTTGGAGTACAAGCTGGGCTAAGGCTCCCGTGAGTCTCTGTCCTGACACAGGTGGGGGGCCCTCCTGTCCGACTGCTGACTGACACCACTGACCTAAGGGAAACCCTTCCCCTGGGTCCTCATGGGGTGGGGGTGGGGGGCAGGCTTTCTGAAGCAGTACAAGAGTTCACCATGTGCATTCACTCTGTGTGTCTGCCTGTCTGTCTGTCTGTCCCACCTGTGTGCGCCATGCTTGCCGGGAGTGCTCCCGAGTGGAAAGTGGAGTTCATCTGTCGTTAGTTGCAGGAGGAGGAGCGACGGCGGCAGCAGCAGCTAGAGGAGCTGCGGCAACGAGAAGCGGAGGACCGTGTCCGCCAGGAAGAGCTGCGGCAGCGGGAGGCGGAGGAACGCGCGCGCCTGGAAGAGGAGCGTGGGCGGCGGGATGCCGAGGAAAAGGTCCTGGTCCTCTGAGAAGCTAGGATGTAGCACGTGGCCTGGGGGTGGGACGGATCTAAGCTGCACAGGGCCTGGACCCCAGCTCTGGCTACTGGACCAGAACCTCTCCCTGGCCGGCCAGTCTTCTCTCCTGAACTCTGTCTCCAGACCCTCCTGAGCCTGTCTCCCTCAGACCTCTGAACTCAGACTCAGCATCCTTCTGGGCACGCAGGCCAGCTGTCAGTGTGACGTTTGTTCTGTTACTTTGAAACTTGAGTTTCAATCATGGGAGGTGCTAGCAACCTAGTGAAACTTGGTGAACATTGAACGTCTTAAATCAATTATTTACTGGTTACATGATTCTTAGGAAAAAAAGCAGGATCAAGGCTATGTTAGTGTGTCATCTGTTCAACGTGATGAGTTAACTTCCCACTGTGTCTGGCTTGTGTGTGGGCTGAGGCGCTGCTGTGTGAGGCCCTGGCCCTGGCCATGGTCAGGGTCTGTCTGTTTCTCCTGGGCAGATGTACAACGTCACCTACTTCTGGGGAAGACGCATGCACGCACGCTGCTTCCCTTCTGTGGAGGCTGAAGCTTGGCTTCTGATGGGTGGGCTCTGTTCTTATTCACAGTCCTCTGCTTGGTAGTCTTACAACAAACACCCTTTCCTCAAACAAAAAAATGAAAATGCCGCCTTTAGCAGGAAGCATTTTGTCTTCACTGAGTCTGTCTTTATCCTGAAAACTGGGTAGACCAGTAAGGACCCAGTTTCGAAGGCCAGCTCACCCTCAGCACCTGCCAGTTGCATCATGTGAAGCTGAGATTGGGCTTCTTTCTCAGGAGATGTTTTGAGTCCCTTGACCTCCTGGGCTTCTTTCTCAGGAGATGTTTTGAGTCCCTTGACCTCCTGGGTTTGTTCAGCAGGTGGTTCTGTCTCTCTTGGTTGCTTTGAGGCTGCTCCAGGGAGATACCTTCTGGCTGTCTGAGGGTGTGCTATCCCAACTCAGGGCTGACACGGGGGGCGGGGGGCAGTAGCCTGGGTCTGGCATGGGGCCAACCTGCTGCCTGAGTGGACGAGGCCAGGCAGCCACTTGCATTCTCACCACTTAGGATGGCATCCAAGACAGGGGCAGCTTAGCACCTGCTTTCTTAACTGACTGTCCGTATAAAAGAACGTGGGCGGGCACCTGCCTGTCATCCTTCCTGCTCTTTAACTACAGTGTTCCTCGTGTCATGCTGAGGTTCTTGACAGTTCATTTGAAAGCCACCAAGTCACACGGGGTGCATTCCCCACCTCCTGAGAAACTCTGACTACGTAGACCGCAAGCTACGTTGGTCTCTCCTTCAGGATGTCTGAAAAACAACAGGAGGATGAAGTGAGGTGTGGGCCCAGAGTGATGGCGGAGCGGGCATTCAGGCTGCTGGTGTCCTCTCCCTCAGAAAGCCAACTGTTAGTGCTTGTGTTTTGAGTGTGTCTGAGTGTGTGTGTGTGTGCATGCACATGCGCTCTGTGTGTGGATTCAGTCTCTGGGGGCGGGGTGTCTGGGTGTTTGTGTAGCTCCAGGGTGGTAGCAGGAATCACAGCCCTTTTACTTGAAGTGGGGACCAAGCTTGCGGCGGGGCCAGGAAGGCCGGAGGGAGGGGCGGCTCTGTCCCTGTCCCTGTCCCTGCCTTGGTAGCTGGAGCTGGCAGGTGCTGCTGTTGGACTTTCTCTGCTCCCTCCTCAAGTCCTTTTTCCTTGTACTTTTGTCCTGTTGTAACTGTAAGCTGATTTCACCACTGTGAACTGTAGTTTGTGCAGATGTGTGTCAGAAGCAATGTTCATGATTGTGTCAAAATATATTTGCACTTCCCTTCTGTTGCTGCCTGGCTCCCTCGCCTTCTGTTGGCCAGGGTGGAAGAGAGACACAAGTCTGTCGGGGCGGTGGGCACGTTCCTTAAAGGACTGCTGGGGCTGGGGGCTGGGGCTCAGGGTTCGGTTTCCTACTGACGCCCTCCAGCTCGGGGTAGACTAGGCAGCCCACCCCCACACTTGCTGCGGGGATCGACTTTCCCCACGTCTCCGTGTCTCTCGTGTTTCTCCACCGGGCCTGCGTGGTTGCACCTCTCAAAGGGCCCGCCCTAGCCTATTTTACTTTCGTTTTCTCTGGAATCACAGCTCAACCAGGTAAGTTAATATTCTACCAAGAATGGAAAGGAGCCAAGAAAGCCAAGTGGAGGCACTGGGGGTGAGGGGGCCGAAGTCAACACTGGAGGTGGGGCCTGCAGGGTGCAGAGCATGGCTGCCCCCGGCCCCTCCCAGGCGGCAGGCTGCACTCTGGGCGGTGGGCCCCCGCTAGCTGCCCCCCGCCGACTCTGACTTGTGTTTCTTTGGCCGGCAGAGGCGCCAAGAGGAAGGCTATTACAGCCGCCTGGAGGCGGAAAGGCGCAGACAGCACCAGGAGGCGGAGGAATCCGGCCTGTGCAGACCCCCGCCGCCGAGGGACTACCAGCCCCCTGCCCCAGCCCCAGCCCCCGGGGCACCCCCTCCCCCGCCACAGCGCAACACCTCCTACCTCAAAACGCAGGCCCTGTCCCCGGACACGCTGTACACGGCCAAGTTTGTGGCCTACAGTGAGGAGGACGACCAGGAGGAGGAGGCCGGCCCGGCAGGTCAGGATAAGTACGGCCGCGCGAGAACGCCTTCCGCGGACCTTCCTAAGCCGCCGCGCCCCAGCTCCGATGGCATCTTCCTTAACAACTCCTTCCAGCCGCCCTCCTGGGCCAAAGCCAACAGTACTGCCCAGAGAACAGGGCAGCCCCCGCCCCCGCCACCCAAACCCTGGTTCTGCCACCCCAGCACCTTCAAAGGTAGAGCGGTACCATGAGCCCCGATCGCCCATCGCTGAACCCGCACCCCTGAATTTGATTTCCCCGCTCCAGTCGCTGGTCTGGGTCCACTCGGTGCTCCCTTCTGGCCTCGCTCTAATCAGTCAACCTCCCACCGCCCCAATCAGCCGATCAATCAGCCCCCAATCGATTCCAGTACTGTTGGTCTTGGTTTTTACGCTGCACTCCTCCCAGCATGCTCCTCCCGTGGGTGCATGCGGGTCCTAACTAACTTGCTGGGATTGCATGCTGACTGTCGCCCCTCTAAGCTACATCGAGCTGCTACTTATTCAGAACAAACGCCATGCAGTCCTGTGCTGGGGGGCTCATCTGCGACCCTCTTGGGCGTGTGGTCAGCACGCCGTAGCTGTGACCTCTTCGCTGACCGCAGAGCCTCCTTATCTCCGGGTCTCCTCAGTCAGAACAATGCCTCTCCCTGAGGGGAAGCGAGTTGTCACTCTGAGCGCGACTCAGATCCCCACTTGTACAGGGTGGTAGTCGGCCGAGAAGAATGGCTAGATATCCCTTCTGACCAGCTTGGCTCTCAGTGCCATTACTAACCCTGCTTTGATCCCACCCTAAATGCCACGCGGGAGCAGGCTAGTTCCTGCATCTGGAGGTACAGACCTGAATGACCTCCGGTGTCCAGGACCGACCTCATTCAAAGCACTGGATCGTGCCCCGACCGCATCTCCCGAGCATGCGCACTGCCTCTATGAGCGTGCCCCTAGACAGGCGCACTCCTGCGCTCCTAGGGCCGCGCCTGGTTCCTTCCACTGGGTGCTCTGGAGTTTGTAACCCTCCCCAGAGCAGCAGCATGTACGACAGCACATATAAATCCATTTGCCATATGTACCCATTCAGAGAAAGCCAGCCAGAAGGATTTGATCCTCTAACAAAGTGCTTCTATAAAGAGTTAAAGCTTTACCAGTGGAAGAAGCTAGTATCATCCCAGAAACAAAGCTCAAAAAATCGGACACAGGGATTTTAAAAGGAAGAAAAGAATTGGGAGTCAAAGCGATGCTTTCCTAAATCGTTCTGGAGGGGCGCTGCCTGTCTGATCTTCTGAGTCTTTGTTGAGGGTCAGCTCTTGCCCTGTAATCTCGGGTTTTCGGCTACACGGTGCAAAGGGAAGATGCAGTGGTTCCCAGAAGAAGCTGGCTGTGCCTGAGTGGGCCACATAGGCTTTGCCTGGGAGCTCCTTTTTAAAGAAAAGAGGCATAAAAATTAGTTTTGTGCTGCTTGTGTAGAAAGGATCATTTAGATGTAGAAACAATCATTTCATGGCCTGTCTAATCCAGTGCTCAGATACTCATCCCATTTGCCTTCTCTGGTGTTGTCGTCAGAAGTTGTGATTGTGTGTGTATTTCATGGTCACTTTGGGGGTCTGTGGATCCATGTCCAGGACCTTCACGCACGCAGGCAGTCAGTCGGTAGTGTTGGATGCATCAGGCCGCTCTTGACAGTGTTTCTCAGGTGGGAAGAGCGTTTTTAGCTCGTATTTACCCCATAGGTAGAGGTGTCTTTTTTTGGGGGACACTGCATCTTTACCAGCATTGAAGTGTCTGACAGATTGCAGCTTCTCTAACTCTGACTTTCTCTCCTATGGAAAAGGACCAAACTCATATATGGGACCTACTGGAACGGCTGTTAGCACTCATGACGGGTCTCGAGATCCAAGAGAGAAACGGTCTAAAAGGTATGCACCCTTGTGCCATCCCTTCAGCTTTGTACAGAGCTGGTTACCATTTTTGTTCCTCGGGCCTTTTTTTAATGTAAGGCTTGTTGGGATTCCAGAGACTTCCATCAGCTCCCAGGTTCCCAGCATGGAACTGCCTATACACACAGACATGGGACTGTCTCAGACAGTGACGTAGCTTTCTAGGCTTGGAGCCAGAATGTAGGGCAACGCAAGCCGCAGTATTGGGCACAGCCATCGACCCCTTCTACCGGGGAGGGGCAGAACTGATGGGGTGACACCGGCATGTCCGACTAGACCACCCATGGGCTCGGCACCTTCACCTCAATTCCAATTAGAAATGCAGTGACCCAGGCAGTTTGAAGTTGAACAACTCCAGAAAATCATATCACACTAAAATTTATTATTATTATTAATTACGTGTTTTATTTGTTACTATTGTTGGTGTTGTGATTAAGTGCCTTCAAGTCAG